CGGAATGGCAGAAGGGTTTGGGTTGGTTGACCTTCAAAGGTCATCCAGTGCCATGGCAGAGCTGTTCCAGCCCTCGGACCATTTTTGTGGCCTCCTCCGCGCCCGCTCCAACAGCTCCGTGGCTTTCCCGTGCTGGAGGAGGTAGGTGCTTGTCGGCGCTGGCGATGGAGAAGCTGCCGTGGCTCCTCTCCTCTGCCAGCCCGGCAGAGCCAGACTCACCGAAAGGGGACACACCGGCAGCCGTGCCACGGCACAGGCGGCTTTCGGCGCTCACCAGCACCGAGACCACAGCAGGCTCGCCCTTCGCCCATGCTTCCTTCTCCAGGATTAAGGAGAGGAAATTTCTTTGGTTTGTGAGGATCTGGGATTTTGCTCCATGAATTCCTTCTGCTTCCCATACAAGCAGCCGGCTGTGGACCCTGCGTGTCCGGCATCCCGGGGAGCCACGGAGAATTAACAAACTGGGCATTTTGTTCTTTTTCACTCGTGAAGAACTGCGACTGCGGATGCGCCCGCAGACCTGGGTTGCTTGGAAATGCTCCGAGCTCTCCGTCAAGAATTACTCATTGTTTTTGCCAAAACATTTCTGGTGTCAGAAATATTCTAAACAATCCTCTAAATTTTTAAACCTCATTTAAAAAAACATAGTATCAAGAAGCAATGAAGTCAGTTATTGACACAGGGCAAATGTTTTCCTTGTGGCCTCCTCCGGACCTTCCTCCGGACCTTCTGTGGCCTCTTCCCAAGCTTTGATTCCCCGCCAGAGCCCCCTGCCACTCATAATCCTTTGAATTCTTGCTCTCAAAAAGGCTGAAGGAGATGAAAACGGGTCTCGGACAGCTGGGATGGGGCACTCGGACGCTGCTTAGGAAAGCAGGGGCTGGGCCTGTTCGCCCGCCGGTGGCTGCTCCCGCAGACTCTGCTGGTTAAAGCTTGGGCGGGGTCTTTGCTCAGCAGCCACCAATCTGCATTTTGCCAAATTGTCGCTTATTAAGCTGATTTGGGGATGCCCGGGGTGTGACAGATGTCACACAGAATATAGAGCTTGATTTCTCTGCAGCAAAGAGCGGTGGCCGCCTGCCGCGCTACCGAGAGGGCTTCGCTCCCAGCACCCGCCGTCGGCTTTCACGTGCCCTGTTGCTTCCTCCTAGGTGGCCAAGTTTATCGGCTCTCCGCCTGGCTACGTGGGCCACGAAGAGGGCGGGCAGCTCACCAAAAAGCTGAGGCAGTGTCCAAACGCCGTGGTGCTCTTCGACGAGGTGGACAAAGCCCACCCAGATGTCCTCACCATCATGCTGCAGCTCTTCGATGAGGTAAATCCCCGTTTCAGGGTCCGAGTTGGCCGTTCGGAAGGTGACGGTGAGCGGTGCGAGGGATGACGGCTGCAGGAGATGTCCTGGAGCAGAGCCGAAATGCTCCAGATCCCTTCCAAAAAATGTGAGCCAGCCCGTCAGTGCCTTCTCTGCTTTAACCCCAGGAAAAGGGATGATGCTGAGATCTCCTGGTGGAGTAAATGACATCTTTAGGCAAAGAACAAGCCAGCGCTGGGAGGGTTGGAAACTTGAGGAAAAACCCTGGGAATTGGGTGGGTTGGTTGGGTTTCCCCGGCAGAAAGCGGGAGCCGGTGGCCCTCTCCACGTGGGGGCCCTGTGCCCACCTCCCGCCTGCACCTCCGCGGCGGGGGGATTTAATCTCCCAGGTCCCAGGCGTGGGTCCGGGTGTTGTCACAACATCAGAAAAACAGGGTGGTCCGGGGACTTCGCAGCCCGTCAGCATCCGAACGAGTCCTGCCTTGTGAATTGCTGGTTTTTAGCTCAGGGTGGTTAATTGATGACTCTTCAGACGGCACGTGATTTGTCTCGCACCTTGCCTCCCCCAAACATAGAAGGGTTTGGGTTGGAAGGGACCTTAAAGATCACCTGGTTCCCCCTGCCGTGGACAAAACCCTTCAGCCGATTGCTTCGGAGGAGTCCGGGGCCGCTTCCCAGGACTTCAGCTGTCTCCAGAGGAAGCCAGAACACTCTTGGAGATGCCTGGGAGGGCTCCTGAAGGGATGCCAGCATGGACCTGCCCTAACGTAGGCAAAACTCCTCGGGTAGCTGCCTCGGAGGAGTCCGGGGCTCCCGACAGCATCGCGGGTGCTGGGGGAAGGCTGTGCCCAGTAGCCCTCCAGGAAAACTCCCGGGCGTCTCCAGGAGCGTGCTGGCCGCCTCTGGAGCCAGCTCAAGTCCCAGAGAGAAGCCGCAGGCTCCTCCAAGGCAGCTACCCGCGGAGTTTTGTCCATGTCGGAGGCCGGTCCGTGCCCGTCAGCACCTCAATACTCCTCCCTCCTACTACTTCTGAGGTCCCCAGAGGCAACCAAACTCCAGAGCAACGCGCTGGGAGGTTTGAGGGTTTTGTTTTGTTTTTCTTTTAAGGATTAATAACACAATTTTTTCTTGCATAGATCATCGCAGCAGCAGCTAAATGTGAAATCAATTCCTGTACCACGCACTTGACAGGGCAATAACCCAAATGTTAATCTCAAGCACCCAACAAGGATTTGTGTCATTGTGCTGGATATCTGCTGCTGGAGACATATCGAGGAAAGAAACTGCCTGGGGAGCTGCTTTTTTTTCCCTTCTTTTTCTCTCTTTTTTTATTTTATTAATCAAGAGAACTAGTACCTTTGAAGGGTTCCTGCGTCGGTTTGGTAGGAGGAGGGTTGATGCCGCAGCAGTCGGCCGCAGCGGCGGGGGCCCCCCCCCCGGGGACCGGGGTGGGGCCCCCCCCCTTTGAGCACGGTGCTGGGCCGCCCTGCTTTGGTTTGCCGGGCGATCCCGCGGGCGCCGGGGATGCTCCGTGTTGCCTCTTGCTCTCACGGCCTCTCCGTTGCTTCGTTCACTCCGTTATAGCCATAATCCGCTTATTTTGGCAAGGTTATTTTGGCTTTGCTTATTTTCGGTCAGGCTACCAGCAGCCTGTGCCTCCCTGTGGTGCTTTCGGACCACCACAAAGCCCGCTCCGAGCCCTCCCGGACGGCCACGGTGCCACGGGGAGCTTTGAGCCGACGCCTCTGGAAGGCTTTGGTGAACGTCTGGGCAATGTCGCTGGAGCTGTTCGAGGCGCCGACGCCTGCAGCTGCCCGCTCTGCCCCCGAAAAGAGCCCACGCCGGGGCACACCTCGCGTCTCAGCCGCGCCAGCATCCCGGCCTAAACCCCAGCCGCGGGCAGGGCTGAGCCCAGAGCCTGGGCTGCCTCTGAGGGTCCTTCGAACCCACCCGAGGGGCAACAGCCTCTGTTAGAGGGGTGGGACAGCGGCACGAGGTGACAACAATGTCACCTGCGCTTGTGGGGTTCGCCAGGGCTCATGTGCTGGGCCCGGAACCGCGGCAGGGAGGCAGGCAGAGGACGGAAGGCGGTTGAGCTCCGTACGGGCTGCCCCAGCCCACCTCCCCTGCGAGGAGGCATCTCCCAGGGCCTCCATCGAGCGTGTCCTGGCCGGGGCGGGCTGGGACCGCGTGCCGGGCGAGCGACGGCCATTCCTTGGAGAGGTGGGGGCTTCTTCAGCCTCCGCAGCTCAGCCCTGCCTGCGTCCTGCCTGTATCCCTGGGCATCCCTTCAAAAATAAACCCGCTCGGGGGAAAAACGGGCCCCGTGTCCTTCTGCCTCGTGTTTTGGCACTGTCCTGTGGCGCCCGCTCACGCCGCTTGCCTGGGCTCGGTGTTGTTGCAGGGCAGACTGACGGATGGGAAGGGGAAAACCATTGACTGCAAGGATGCCATCTTTATCATGACCTCCAACGTGGCGAGCGACGAGATCGCCCAGCACGCTCTGCAGCTGCGCCAAGAGGCCGTGGAGATGAGCAAGAAAAGGATCGCAGAAAACTTAGGTACTGGTCTTTCAGTGTCGTACTCCAAATCCCCAAAGCATCCACCTCCCTCCCCACATTCATTTGACACCGGCTCGGCCGTCCCTCTGCCGGGGGCAGCACCCCGGCCCTCCTGCCTGCCCACCGGTCTCCCTCCTGCGACACCTCTGCGTGGGGCTTGCCCTCTTCCAAAATCCTCCTTATTCGAGCGCCCATCCTTGAGCTCTGTCTTTGGAGAAGGCTTTGTAGCTCGCCTCACAGCCTTCCTCCTCCCGTGCCTTCTTCCCTTCGTCTCCTCACCCTTTTCCTTCTTTCGGGACCCTTCCAAATGCTTCCCAGAAAAGACTGGGGCTGGTACAGGTGCTCGCATTAAAGAGCAAGAGTCTTGTTTCCTCGCAGTCCTCCCAAAAAGCTCTGAGCTTGATCGATTTTACCTCACCTTGGAATGGGAGCCCTGGGCCCCCACCTCAGGGTCCTGTAGAAAATTGTCCAAAAATGTGAATTAGGTGGTAAAAGGAGAATTGAGTGGGGCAAGGGCAGCCTCCGCGAGTGGAACTGAACAGCTCTGCTGCAGGCTGCGGAGGCCCCGTTTACGTGCAGCCCTCCACCGCCTTCGCCGGCCAGCTGGTGGTGACGCCAGTGGCACCAGGAGGCCCCAGTGACTGGTAGGTCTCTGCTGTGCCACGGACGGACGGACGGACAGCAGTGCCTGCACCGGGGGCCGTCCCCTCTAACTCTAAAATACACGGCAGTTTGTGAGCACGGGCGCTGGCGCGGGGAGCAGAGGGAAACGCCGGCTCCGTCGCCTGCTGCTGTGCCTGTGGATCGCCCGGCAGCCGCCGGCGGCCCCGGCC